GAAATATAGAATATAGAATACTTAGTGATGTTGCTAAGAAGCCCTGGCCATGGTCAATGGCTCAGTAAAGTCCCATCATTGAGAAGCTCTCAGTTCTACATAGAGTATGTTTTTCATCAAAGACCATTTACTGGTGACAAAGTCTTGAGTCAGAGCTTTGTAAATACTGTGAGCTTATTGAATATCAGCAGCTTCACTCTTTGCACAAGGAGAGAATTATTCAGTTCAGAGGTGATAAAAACAGTGGTTATTTCCTGTTTGGAGTACAATAGATCTTTAAACTGTGATTCTTTAATTTATGAAGATCACGATACTTGAAAAGTGCTAAAATATTTGTTTGGATGTATAGGCTGAGAAATCATTAGACTAGTTAATTCGTTCAGTCAATCTGAATAAAACTATTGATACTAGAGTTATGTAATTTTGATTTATTACAACATTTTATAATCATCAAATGTTTCTAATATTGACTCTCATGGATATGCTATGTTTTTGTATTTTCAATTCATTCTTTGTAGCATGTGTATGATTAAATTTGTGAATAATAACTTGAAATCTACTCATATAGACATACTTTGGTAGACATAACAATGTTTCTTAAAAACACAGAATCAGTTTTGTAAAACCCAGACCTAAAATGCACTTAAATACAAAGCAAACATGGAATCGTAAGTTCAAGATACAAAGCATCATTTGAGAATTCTTTTCTAGTTATCAGCTTAGTCTGTTGGAGAACAAAACAGAGTATAACCTGGCTTTATTTTCTTTTTATTCATCTGCACATGTGTGTGGTGTTTATAAGCATGTGTGGACACACATAGTGCATATATGTATGTTGGTGCCTGAGTTTTTTTCCGTCACTATCCACTTACAAAGTGAGTTAGGATCTTTCAATTGATAGCCAAGTTCACCAATTTAGCTACTATAGATAGCCAGCTTGCTCTAAGGATACCCTGTTTCTACCTTCTGAGTGCTGCAATTGCAGACAGATTATGGTACCCACCTATGGATACTGTTATGTGAATTCTCAGGTTGATCTTCATTTCTCAATCTTACATAGCAAGTTCTTTAGTGCTTTATTCTTTGATGTAGAAAATTAAATATTTTACCATTGATATTAAAACTGTATTTAATAAAATTTATTACTAAAAATTATTGGATATGACACAATTTTTAAAATTCAACATAGTAAATCAATTAGTGGCAAAATAATGTTAAAACTTATTTAACAGTTACTGACTGACTGTGGCATAAAAATCTTTGTTAAAAATGTATAAAGAGTCTGGGTATATTTCCTATCTCTTCTTGCATCACTGTTTCTTCACTTATTTATCTTGAATTTCTAAATATATACTTTGGAAAACTCTGTTCTAAAATCTGGTAAAAATTTCATAAAATCATATTAAATCACGTTTTTATTGTATTATTTGTTCTTTTGATGACTAATTTCTTGAGTTCTTTGTATATTTTGGATATCAGACCTTTTTCTGAAGTAGGGTTAGTGAAGATCATTTCCTATTCTGTAGGCTGTCACTTTGTTTTGTTTACTGTGTCCTTTGCTTTAGAGAAGCTTCTCAGTTTCAGGAGGGCCCATGTGTTAACTGTTTCTCTCAGAGTTTGTGCTTCTGAAATCATATTTAGGAAGTGGTCTCCTGTGCCAATGCGTTCAAAGGTACTTCCCGTATTTTCTTCTATAAGGTTCAGTGTGGCTGGATTTATGTTGATATCTTTGATCCACTTAGACTTGAGTTTTGTGCATGGCGATAGATATGAATCTATTTTCATTCTTCAACATATTGACATCCAGTTATGCCAGCACCATTTATTAAATATGCTTTTCTTTTTTCATTTTATATTTTTTGCATCTTTGTGAAAAATCAGGTGTTTGAAAATGTGTGGATTACTATTTGGGTCTTCAATTCAGTTACATTAGACCTTCTGTCTGTTTTTATGCCAATACCAGGCTATTTTCAGTACGTCAGCTCTATAACTGTAATTCTTACTTGAGAACTGTTTTTATTGTATATAATTTTAATATGTTAAAAATTAAAGCTTCCTTTTTAATTAGACAAAAATGGAAATGCTGTGGAACTATCTTTGTGCATTGTAAATAAGGTTTTTTTTGTTGTTGTTGTCGTTAACAAAAACCTGACAGGCTAACACCTAGGCAGGATTTGGGGAGCAGAGAGAATTCTGAGAAGAATGGTGGAGTCTGGGGAGTCTGAAGAGAAGCTGGAAGAAGCATGATGAGTATGCTGTGTTGAAAGAAGACACTGCCACATTGCAAAGAATAAATAAAAATATGGGTTAATTTAAAATGTTAGATACTAACAAGCTCGAGCTCTTGCTCCAGCATGTAAAATTAAGGATAAGTGTCTGAGTGGTTGTTTGCAAGTGGCTATTGGGACACAGAGAAACATCACCTACCCATTTTTTGACTTTCTTATCTTTTATCAGTCCAACGAGTCAGGGCACTACTGCCCAACCTGAATGCCTTTACCACGTGATGCTTTTCTCTTTCCCGTTGAATCTTTCCAATATGATTTCATGAAATACAATATACATGTGTCATAGTCTTTACAGTCATCAAAAGTTCTTTTGCCTTCTTAAAAACTCATAATGAAATGCAAACACCTACTACACTTATTGTATAAGGTAATTTTAAATTAAAAGTTTTACATTAAAGTATATTAAACACATTAATTTTTACCCAAAATTTTTACCATGTTTTTTCTTAAGTATACCTCCATGTATGTGTGAAAATGATGAAGTCATGTTTTCTTAATATGAGTGCTCATAAGTATCAATTTATCTTGGGATTTAATTTTATTCTATTGTGTGTAAAGTTTACTCTAAACAATAGAAGACAAACTATCATGAAGTAAAGGTCCATTCCATTTTTATAAATTTTTAAAGTAGAAAGGTCTAAAAATCAATTTCCATTTTTTTGTATGATATATGTGTAATTTAACACATTAAGCAAATTGCCCATCAATTGAAGCATGTAAAGAGTCATGATACATCTTAAATAATGTAGGTTTAATTACTTAAGTCATAAATAGTATTGTAATTCTTTTATTTGTTTGAAAATGGATGAAACTGGAGACCATCATGCTAACCCAAATAAGCTAATTATATATAGTAAGTGTTATATGTATTCTTTTATATGTGAGATCTATTCTGAAATACAAAATGGGTACTAGTAGGGTTGTAGAAGAGAAAAGGAATGGAAATATGTTAAATAAAGAGATTATTATGAGAAGAATATGTTCAAAGTTAATTAGAAGCAACCCTTAGTATAATTCATATATAATAAAATTACTAAAGTTGAGCATAACAAAATTTACTTCAACTATATACAGATTTTTTTAACTACAACTAATTTAGACAATAGTTTCATGCCACTGAAAATTTTAATGATATAAATTGTATGTTCATCTTTTTAAGTCTATGCCCAGTGGACTAGACAATCCCTGGTGAAAAGTTTATGCCTGCTGTGACAAATTGGGATTTAAACATAGACTTTGTTTTTTTTTCTCTTTCTTGTTGATCTCCATAGAGTGTGCCTTAAGGGATATCTGTTCCTGGATTTCTAATCAGGTCCAAAAGAATTATAAGCAGGCCATGTTCTTTATTGATATAGTGGCTCTGGAGGGATGTCTGTGGCTTTTCTTTACTGTATTTGGGAAAATGACTAGCTAAAAGTGTTATGCACATCTCACGGTGACATCTGTAACCTTCAGATTGGGAGACATGTGCTATGACCCTTTTGTCATGCAGAACGTTATGATGACATTTCTCCACTTTTGATGTCAGTTCTACCTTCAGGATAGTGGTGGGGTGACGCATATAGAGGTCTATTCGGAAACAAGAAAGAGTGAGTTCATTTTTTATTCATGTCTCCAATTCCTCTTGTGGACAGAAAGGAGAATAATTATTGCACTGAATGTCAATAACAACAAATCGGAAGGGCAGGATTCAAACTCTACTGTCTGCCTGCTTGTGTTTCCTCTGTGTTGTGTTGGCTTCCTCTTCAGTTTAATAGTAAGACATGCAGAAGAGGTCCAGGTACCACATGAAATACAAAGCTTCCTTAGTATGTGGGGGGTGTTTATTCTGCTTTAAACAAAATACTAATGTACCATGTATATAAATAGTTTATGTGTTATAAAAGTATAATGTGGTTATTAAAAATATCACTAATGAAACCCTCACCCATATTAGTTACTATTTTCTCTTGCATGCTTTTACAGACTTTTGAAAGTAAACCTTTTTCCATCTTCTGTGAATCTAGGATAGAGTAGAAACAAATATGAAGGGACATGGAAGAATATAATTAGTGAAAATATTAAGCTACTGTGGATAGTCTTCATATCCTATATCAATTGTTAACTTCATAGAGTCTTATAATAAGTACCATGGAAATCTTACAGACTGTAAGTAATTTCTTTTCATAAGGAGTATCTGTGTGAATGATGTCCTACAGAAATTCTCTTCTTTATTAAGGAAGAACTAGATTGTCTAATGGAACTAATGGATGGGAATTGATAAACCAGAAGAGGGCATGCATTTTGTATGATATATCACATCACCTAAGTTTATCAATGTTTAAAGTTTATGAGACATCATGCATAGTGTAGGCTTAGTTACTTAAATAATAAACAGTATTGCAATTATATTAATTGAATATGGATGGAATTGAAGATCATCATGTTAGACAAAATAAGTTAATTATATAAGATAGGTGTTATATGTATGTGTGGTGTATGCAATATAGGCATGCAGGTCAGACAATCTACGTCCATAGGCTGAGGCATGGGTAGAAGAATATTATTGTAATAACCAGATTATAAAGATGAAATAGGCAAGAGTAATTCAAATTTGCCGTTATTTGAGAGTATGGTAATATATTCATATGACAAAGAAGAATTTTTGTCAATTTTTCCAAATTCTGATACTGTTGAAAACCTGGAAACAGAGCTGGTTTGTTCACTATTAAAATTTTCTTCACTCCTAGATTTTCAATGATAAGCATGCTGGCTGAAAATGGCTCCTTGGTGATTGAATTTGTTCTTGCTGGTTTGACAGATCGTCCAGAACTCCAGCTGCCTCTTTTTTATGTGTTTCTTATAATCTACATTGTCACAGTGATTGGAAACTTTGGTTTGATCACCCTGATTGGTCTCAAACCTCACCTGCACACACCAATGTACTATTTCCTCTTCAACCTCTCCTTCATTGATCTCTGTTACTCTTCTGTCTTCAGTCCCAAAATGCTGATGAACTTTGTCTGTGAGAAGAATACCATCTCTTATGTAGCGTGCATGACTCAGCTGTTTCTCTTTCTATTTTTTGTCATCTCTGAATGCTACATGTTGACCTCAATGGCCTATGATCGCTATATGGCCATATGTAACCCATTGCTATATAAGGTCACCATGTCCCCTCAGGTCTGTTCTGTGATATCTTTCTCTGCTTATGGGATGGGGTTTGCAGGAGCCTCTGCCCACACAGGATGCATGCTCAGACTGACCTTCTGCAATGCTAACGTCATCAACCATTACTTGTGTGACATTCTGCCCCTCCTTCAACTTTCTTGCACCAGCACCTATGTCAATGAGGTCATAGTTCTCATAGTTGTAGGTATTAACATCACAGTCCCCAGTCTTACCATTCTCATTTCCTACATTTTTATCCTGGCCAGCATTTTAAACATCAAATCCACGCAAGGAAGATCAAAAGCCTTCAGTACCTGTAGTTCTCACATCATGGCAATTTCTCTTTTCTTTGGATCAGCAGCATTCATGTATCTTAAATATTCTTCTGGATCTATGGAACAAGGAAAAATATCTTCAGTTTTCTACACTAATGTTGGGCCCTTGCTCAATCCCCTGATTTACAGTTTTAGGAACAAGGACGTCAAGGTGGCATTAAGAAAATCAATGATTAGGTTTCAGAAGAGAAACATATTTTAATTAGAAACAATCTTTCTTTATGAATTTGGAAGATTAAATTTGGGGGGATTGTTTTTGTTTGTGAATGAGAATTTACCTATTATTATATGTGTAATTTTGTAGACTTGTTTTTGCAATATTTTATTTGGATAATTTCATTTTTGTTTCTGTAACTCTGGCAAATCTAATAGGAACTCCAAATAATTGGTAACATTTTTATGAAGAAATAAGTACACAGGCATTTTTTATTGCTATTTCTTATTCTAGGCTATTGGCCTAGAATCTAAATCTAAATCTAAAACTAAAAATGAAAAACAATGGGTGCTTTCTAATTTTATAGTAGAAATATGGTTATGATAATGTTGGGAAGCTGGGTAGGAGATGACAATAAGGTTTTTAATTTGTATGGTTTCGATCAGGAATATTGTATTTGAATTCATTGCTTCTCATTGAAACTCTGTTTAATCATTTTTATATTTTAAATTTATGTAGCAATAGATTTTGCAGTTCATGCTAAAAAGACATTGCAGTTATGTCAGATGATGTGTATTTTCTTCAATTTAATCACCACACAGTAGATATCTATGTAATTATCATTGTTATTCATAAGCAAAATATGTATAGTTTTACTTTTCATTTACAAATAAAATCAGAAAAACTCATTATTTGCATACATAATTCCTAATTAATGTAGATTGCAAGAAAAATAAGAACATTGTCATGGACATTTAAGAACAAGGCCTGAATATATATGTTTTACTTAAAGTCATATCTAATAAAAATAAAAATGACTTGTGTTTTTGGGGATATTTTAAAATTTGGCTGTTTTTATACTTATTTAAAAATTTTAAGTGTGTTTGAAGACGAGAGGTCCACAAGTAGGTGTTACTATCATCTTCCCAAGTTGTTCAAAGCAAGCTACATTCAATGTCAGGTAATCCAGACTAGATGGGACATGCACTTCTAAGGATTTTCTAGTCTGCACCTCCCACAGGTACACTGGGATTATAGGTATGTGAACACTAAGTCCAGATATGCATGGGTTCCGAAGATTCAGTCTAGGTAATTAGGCTCTGGTGGCAAACACTTCAACATACTAAGCCATCTCCCTGTCCCCAAAATTGAATACTTTTATTAATATGCTATATGCTGAATATATCTTATTTTCTGATTTTTGCCATAAAAGTAATATGATCTTTAAAAGTTTATAAGACATAATTAGGCAGGTCAGAAAATTATTTAAAAATATGTAATAACAATTTTAATTACAGTTTCTTTTTTATTGTTTTTACTGAGCTACACATTTTTCTCTGCTGCCCTCCGTTCCTCCCCTCTCTCTTTCTACCCTCACCCATGGCCCCATGCTACCAATTTGCTAAGGAGGTCATGTCTTTTCTCCAATTCTATTTAGGTCCATGTATGTCTCTCTTAGGGTCCTCTTTGTTGTCTAGGTTCTCTGGGGTTGTGGATTGTAGGTTAGTTTTCTTTTGCTTTATGTCTAAAAGCCATTTATGAGTGAGTACATATCATATTTATATTTTTCTTTCTGGGTCTGGTTTACCTCACTCAATATGGTTCTCTCTAGATCTGTACATTTGCCTGCAAATTACAAACTGTCATTATTTTTCATCACTGGGTAGTACTCCATTATGTAAATGTCCCAAATTTTCTTTGTCCATTCTTCAGTTGATGGGCATCTAAGTTTGTTTCCTGGTTTGGGCTATTACAAAAAATGCTGCTATAAACATAATTGTGCACATGTCCTTGTGGTATGATTGAGCTACCTTTTGGGTATATACCCCAAATTGGCATTGCTGGGTCTTGTGGTAGAATTTTTTTTTAATTTTCTGAGAAATCACCATATTGATTTCCAAAGTGACTGTAGAAGTTTGCACTCTCTTCAGCAATGCAGGAGAGTTCTTACCCCACATCCTCTCCAGCATAACCTGTTTTGGATCTTTGCCATTCTGATAGGTGCAGAATGGAATCTCAGAGTTGTCTTAATTTGTATTTCTCTAATGGCTAAGGATGTTCAGCATTTCCTTAAGTGTCTTTTAGTCATTTGAGATTTGTCTGTTGAGAATTCCCTGTTTAGGTCTGTACTCTATTATTTTGGATTGAATTTTTTTTTTCATTTGATGTCAAGTTTCTTGAGATCTTTGTATATTTTGGAGATCAGTCCTCTATCAGATGTGTGGTTAGTGAAGATATTTTCCCACTCTATAGGCTGTCGTTTTGTCTTGTTGATTTACTGGGGAGCCAAATGCTTTTAAAATTAAGTTTCAGCTAGCATACAAAATTTATTTCACTATAACACTGTTATGTATATGTATATACATATGCATATATATGTATGTCATGGTTCCTTGCTTATATCCAGGATCATTCATTTCCCCACTACCATTCCCTTTTCCCCCTTCCTCTTAATATCTCCTTAAGTGTTCATATCACATATGTATACATTATGTGTATATATGTATATATATATGCATATGTGAATATATGTATATACACAAGTTATAATTAATTATTTAGTATTTATATGAAAGAAAATGTGACATTTTGTCATTATTCCCCCTCATCATGTTGTACACTCTTCCTTTGTAAATTTATTAATCTCCTGTCATATTCTCTTCTCTAACTTCATGTTTTATTATATATTATATGTTAACCACTATTTGCTAATTAATCTAAAAATAAATAATTTAATTAGTGCTTAATATTAAATAAATAATGCACATTTAAAACCTAGATTCTCTATTTAAATTCTGGCTTGGATAATTTAAAACAGTTATCTGCAATTCCATTCATTTTCCTTCAGATGGCATAGGTTAATTTTTATTTTGTTTATTTTTTATTTTTTCAATGCTAATCATGTCTTTTCTTTTTTTATTAATTTTTATTGAGCTTTACATTTTTCTCTGCTTCCCCTCCCTGCCTCTCCCCTCCACTTCCACCCTCTTCCAAGGTCCCCATGCTCCCAATTTACTCAGAAGAGTTTATCTTTTTCTACTTCCCATGTAGATTAGATTTATGTAAGTCTCTCTTGGGGTCCTCATTGTTGTCTAATTTTTCTGGGATTGTGATTTGTGGGCTAGTTTTCTTTGCTTTATGCTTAAAAAATACTGATGAGTGAGTTCATGTGATATTTGTCTTTCTGTGTCTGGGTTGCCTAACTCAAAATGGTGTTTTCTAGCTCCATCTATTTTCCTTCAAAATTCAAGATATTGTTATTTTTTCTGCTGTATAGTACCTTTTTGTGTAAAACTGAATAAAACACATATATGTCACATTTTACTTTTTTATAAGTTTGTATCTGAACAAGCTTTATTTCGATTTTATTTTAGATTTTGAAGTTATACAAGATAATGTTTCATTATGACATTCTGATAAATATATATAGTTGGACTTTGGTTTTTATCACTGCTTGTTACCATTTCTTCACAAGTCACCCAAGCCCACTGCTTTAATTTCTCTCCTTAAAGATCCCTCTTTTACTTTGCTTTTAATAATCTAGATTCCTGATATTCCTCTTTCTCTGCAGACTCACTGCTTTTTCTTTTATTATTTTCTTGGCATATAGTGATAAGATTCACAGAGATGTTTTCTTCATGTAATAATTCTATCACTCATTTCCTGTGTCCTTCTTTTTCTCCCCCCAACTTTTCCCAGATAAAGCTTTCTTCTTTCAAGTTGTACAAATATGTGTGTATATTATATGATCTAGAATCTAAAAGCAAGCAAAAACATTAATTTTTTCTAGATACTGCATATTTTCCCGCTATTTAATCTCCAGTACATTCAATTCCTGTCAATAACAAAATTTCTTTCTGCTTTATGGTTAAATAAAATTATCTGTATATAATTTATGATACATATCATTAGATATGTGACCATCAACTATAATTATATATATATATATATGTGTGTGTGTGTGTGTGTGTGTGTGTGTGTGATCATAAAGTTTAGGTACGACAAGAAATTTCATGCTCAATTGGTTACCATCCTGCACATATCTGAGACACTCAAGTCTTTGAGGACCCAATAATAGTAGGGAGCACCTCCAGACTTTGTCTTGATTCAATTATTGCTTAACACATGCACAAAAACAGAGAAAGAGTTTGAAGTAGCTTCCTTAAAACCTGACATCTGAAAATATATGTAGCATGGTAGGACTCAATCGAGCTCTTACTTTCCTCTCCTGAGCAACTAGTAGATGTCTGAAGAGATGTCCTCACTTAAATAGATTCCTTTCTTTGCATAACCAGGCTCTCTCCTAGACACACTTAGCTTTTAAGTTTACCTTCCTACAGTTACCACTCCATAAAGCTGAGTTGACCTAATATTCTGACTTGGGTGTGTTTATCAAGAGAACTGGGTTTTGGGCAAGCAAATATAGCATTGGTGTCTGTACAAATAAACTTTTCTTTATACTTTCAAAACGTACTAAGTTTTAGTCACCTTGTTGGAGAGATGCCACTGTGGATGTCAATTAGTTTTCTAGAGCCTCATAGTTGTCTGTCTGTATAGCAGTGAAACAAGGCAGAGAGCCAGCTTCATGACACGCCTGACTCATCTTCATGAATATATCCCACAGCTCTGTCTGACTCTTGGGCAGCTATTCAACTTCATGCTTCATTGTGGCTTGGATTCTCAGGACCCAGGAGTATGTCAGTTTTAACCAGTGAGATCCACCATTTGCCTTATTATTAAGCTGGAAACACGGGTGTTTAGAGTTAGCACAGTTTTCATTGCAAACATTATATTTTGCATACCTGGAAGATAAATACAAACATTTTTACTTGTTTGTTTTGTCCATGTGTTATCTTTTTTTATTTCCAATTTTTTTCTTTTATACAACATATCCCTCCTACCTTTCCTCTCCCCAAAATCCACAGCTCCTCCATTTGCCTTCAGACAAGAGCAGGCCTCCAAAGGGTATGAACTGACCATGGCATAATAAGATATAATATGAATAGGCACAAAATCTAATATCAGGGCTAGATGAGGCAATGTAGTGG